TATTTATTGAATTTTAAAGTCAAATATCTTACAATTTGTGTTGACGTTCGCATAATCTACCTTCTTATATTTTTTCATCAATAAATATGCTGCATAATTTTTGTCACTTTAATGTGTTTATAGACTACAATTACTGCAAACAATGTGAAACAAAAAAGATCTAAAATTTTTCATGATTGTAGTGGAACCTCAGTATTTTATTAAGCATTTGGTTAACAGATCGTCAACGTTATATGACGTTTTGAGCAATTGTTTTACATACAAAATAACAGGAATACAAGAGTAGCAACCTTACTGTGAGCTCAGAAAGAGAAGCATCTTCGTGAACTTGAAACCAAATATCAACCAAATACATCTTCTTAACAAACGCCGCTAGTCATAAATTCGCTTTCATTTTATTAGAGCAAGAGTTGTCAGCTTGTAGCATAATTACTTTTTCTTAAACCAGGTTTCCAGTCATGAATTGTAGACAGCTCTTGACCAGTAAGGATCCCCTACAATGATCAAGACAAAATATCTAAGAAGAGTAAAAAAGTAAAAAAAAACGAGACAAACAATAATTTTTTACATACTAAAATGATATTTTGAAAACTGTTTAAAGTTTTGAAGTCTCAAGATTTGTTCTTCTTTTTCTCATTCTTTAGCTTCTTATTATAACTGCTTTAATTGTTTGCCGTCAATCAAGAACCGTCACCTTAGTCATTACCCAGTGTCTGTCACTGGTTGTTTCATCAATGTAAGAAAAGTCAAGTATTAAATGCAAAACTTTTTCAAGAATGGTCACAGTTCTAGTCGATGCTATATGAAAAACACTCCATAAAACCTTTATTGAGTGTAAGCATTGATTTTGGAAACTGCTGCGATTCATAATGCCGTTTTAAAAGTTTTTTCACTTGTATTTCTACACACTTTTTGTTTGCAAATTTATTGACACTTTTTTATTCGTTTATCAAAATTCCAGAAACGCCTCTGCAACTCCCAATCAATCTTTATTCTAAAAGCTTCAAACTAAGCCAATTAAAACCAGCGATTTGGATCTGAGTAAAACGAAGAGTGAATTTTTGCGAAAATGAGTAACTTGCAGAGTGACGCAATAAAATTTTAATTTTAAAAAGCAGTAGAGATATAACATGCACATTTTCAGGA